GGATGGAACAGGGCGTCCCCCTGGGAATGGTCTGCAGGAGAAAGGTGGTTTCGACAGATGCTTCCAACACAGGCAGGAGAGCTCTGTGAGAAGGAAAACCGGCTTTCGGGCACTGGTCGAAAGCAGAGGATGGTCTTCACATCAACTACCTCGAAATGCTGGCGGTATGTCGAGCCTGTCAAACCTTCCTACCGGACCTGAGGGGACACCACTTTCTGGTCCACTCAGACAGCATAACTGTGGTGGCCTACATAAATCGCCAGGGAGGGCTTTCCTCGAGGTGCCTCTTTGTGCTGGTAGAGCGCCTCCTGGAATGGGCACAGCCTAACCTGCGCTCACTGAGAGCAGCGCACGTTCCAGGCAAACTGAACCAAGTAGTGGACATGTTGTCACGAAGCAAAGACCCCTCAGAAGAATGGATGCTTCATCTGCAGACGGTCCAAACTATTTGGGAGATCTTTGGCAAGGCGGAAGTGGACCTGTTCGCCTCAAAAGTCAACTCTCATTGCTCAATTTATTATTCCAAGGACAAGCTCCCCATCCATGCTCAAGGTCTATGTAGCAGCTATAACGTCTTCTCATGCCCCTATAGCAGGCCAGTCGGTGGGCAGAAACAACTTTGTTGTACATTTTCTGAGGGGGGCTAGGAGGCTGAATCTGCCCCGTCCCCTCACTGTCCCTACGTGGGACCTGCCCACTGTTCTGAGGGCCCTGAAGGGTCCTCCCTTTGAGCCACTGGCGTCTGTTTACCTTCTGTCCCTGTCGTTGAAAACCGCTCTGCTGCTAGCATTAGCATCGGTCAAACGAATGGCCTGGCGACTCTAAGGTCGTCCTGAAACTGAGGCATGGTTATATACCTAAGGTGCTCTCTACTCTCTAGTCGTTCCTCTGCCATAAGCACGGCGTGATTGTACTGGTTTCCATAGCGTCTTAGCAGATGCAGTACAAGTGAAGTATCGATAGGGAGTACTGTGTTGCTAGCCATGCTATGCAGCTGCACGGCTCAGTCGTCGCTTCAGTCAAAGTAACCTGAATCTTATGGCGAAGTGCCCACTTATATAGCCAGATGGCCCCGCCCATTCTGGCGGGCTTTGTGGCCATAGGTTCGTGCAGCACCGCTGCCGAGCTATTGGTTCGTTTTTAAAGTGTACACTGCGTTATTGAAAAAGGCTTCAGTTCAGGATAAAAAAATTACTTTTTCCCATAGCGTCTTAGAAGACGCAGTACTCGTTCCCATATCTCAGGGAACCGAGGTTACATTTGTAACCGAGTACATTATCATTCTTGGTGTGAACGTGACTTAAACAGTACCTTGTGTTGCACTGTGAAGTGAAACAACCTGCATCCAGCGCTCTGCTGTGAGAATTAAATGCCTTTTCAATGAAGAGGCAATGTTTCTCTCAAGCACAGGCTGGCCTTCATCTGCAGATGCTGCTTTGGCCCATGATGTTCTTTGTGAATCTGCAAGAAACAAACTAAAGACCTTTTGCTCCTTTCCTCCCAGACAGAACAAATCAATTCACAGCAAACTGAATTGTCAGTTGCCACTCTGGCCTCTTGAATGTTACTTTGCAATTGACTTGCAGACTGTTTTGTCATTGCTGAGACATTGGTTAACACATAACTAGTACAATCCTAGAGCAACAAGACAGTAATGTGAGCGGTGTCCTTATGTGCAGGTCATTGACTGGCCTGCTTTTAATTATTTTAATTATTCATTTTTATTACTTTAACACACTAATCTTTAATTACCTTCTTGTGTACATCACTTTTTTCAGCTTAATTTTTTTTATTCAGGAGCCCAATTTCTTTTTTGACTTGAGTCTTTCTTTTGCTTTTTACATATTTATGCGCCTTTCTTCCATACAAACATGCATTTATGCTTCATTTAACATAAACACAAAGGCAATCATTCCATCAACATACCAACTTTTTTTTCTTCTTGTTCTTTCTTGTTGCTAAGAAACTGAAACTACCTCATTAGCCTTAAGAAGTTAGGCAAAAAAACCCCATTGTCATCTCACTGTGATTGTTCATGTTTGAAGTACAAGTGAAATCTTTAGAGAAGGTCAAGGTTAACAAACATTCCTGTTATTATGGGATGTAGGGATAGCAGGAAAAACATCCGACAATAAAAATGCAACAAGCATAGCAGTGCAAGATGCTCACTGGAGGGCCTCTCAGGTCTGAATTAGAATATTAATAGTGTCACATGAACACACAGACATCAGTTTTCCCTATCATACCAACATTTCTGTTACTCTGATGCCATCATAAATGCCTGTCCTGTTTGACATCTTCATGCCAGAGATTTGGGCTAATTTAAGCAAAACCATGCTAGGTTTCTTAGAAAAGAGTTTGCAGAGACTTTTCCATTTGTTCATGATGACTACTTTAAAAATCCTTTTAGAGACTGCTGGGGG